GGGGGGGGGGTCTCTTTGCTGACTAGACAGGCTGGTTGCAGCGCTGCTCATTCACAGCTCATATTTCTTTCAGCCAGAGATAATCCCTTAACAGATGCCATGCTAAATGAAATCCAGCAAGCCTGCAACATTTGCATATTTGAAAGAGAAAACACAATCAGGGGAAAAAATGATCTGAAAAAATCATAGTTCCCTAAAACATTCTACTTATTGTACCTTCCTAGGTAGCAGATTATATCTGTGAATGATTTGGACTGATTGGGATTTTGGGAGAAAGAACAAGGTTAAAATCCTCTTTCCTATCCCATAACAAGATCTGAACTTACATCTGGATTCCTATCCTCTTATATTTGCAACTAAATGCCCTTTATCCAACTGCTAATTGCCTGCTTGGCATCATATCATTGTTCCCACACTATTCAAATTTGGTACCTGCCTAATGTATTATATTACAGCCTTCATCATCCCCAGCCAATACATTATGTAGGACATTATGTTTTTGCCTGCTTATCATAATGGCATAATGTTGGAAAAGTTTCATTTTCATTGATCATTTGAAAACAGCTCCAGAAAGGATAGGTATATTTAAATGTGTGCATGGCTGATATACTTTCTTTATTATGTTTGTTGCATTTCAAGAGTTTACAAGAGTAAATGTTTACTTTGCAAGGAAAATCATAATGCTGGTGTAAAATCTGAATATTTCAAGTAATAGATGTTTCAGAAAAGTGATGGAGGAAAAAGTAAATGGTTGATTTGATTGATTGCACTGAAAGAATGCATGTTTCTATTGCCTGAGGACTTCCACAAATCCTGGATGCAGATTATTTGAGGCAGGAACCAAGAAGCTATGGAAATCAAAATGAAAAATACAAGGCTATTGAATATGAAATGGAAGGTTCAAAGGATGCGTTGGAAAGTTTGCTTTCCAGTCTTGACAATTCTCCATTGTCTTCAACATTTTAGCTTTTGTTAAAAAAGATTTAGCTACCACTAGATGGCAGTTGTGTTTGCCTTTTATATTTAGCAGGGCTTTTGATTGTAGGTAGTTTAGTGTTTTAACAATGATTTAATCTTCCTGTCTGCTTGTTATAAAGATTATAACATGAACAGTAGTAGAGGGGGTAGCAAAGTAGGATTGTAATACAGGAATATCAGGTGATTAGCTTGTCCCTAAATCTCTTGCTCTTCTATCCTGATGAAATAACATGGGTAAATGTAGCCCCTATAACATTTTTTCCTACAGTACAGTTCATGTTTCATGAAATAGGTGCACAGCTGATGCTCAGTTGGCATGATAGATCCAGTTAAAGACTGCTACAAAATCTGGAAGTGTTGATAACCACACATATTTTACACCATATGTCTATGTATCATTTGGCCGTAGCAGCTGTCAGTAGTGTTCAGCAGTTGTTCATATGTAATGCTGAATAGCTTGATCACTTACATCATTACCTTTGATCATGTGATTAGTATGCCCAGTGCAAGTATGTATGTTCATGTCACATACACAAGGTGTGTGTACTGGAGGGGTGGGGGAGATGCTGGATTGGGTTAATAGGTCTTGGCCCTATTTCCATCTGCTTTGTGGATATTTTGCATGTATTGTGTTGTCTCTGCACAGTTGGAACCGGAGAAACCACCTTTGCTCTGTTAAACTGATAAATGTTTGGAGTCTGGATTCATGATGCTTTTTGCTCTTGTGCACTCAGAATGCTTCAGTAATCCCTTCCTGGATAGTCAGGAAGAAATCTAATACAGACCAAGAGATTTGTGTAAATACAGCTAGTCCTCAAATATACGGTCTGCATATATAAACTCATGTTTTGGAATCATTTTTTCCTCCACTGGACAGTGTTCCCTTAGAATGGGTGAGCAGCTGAATGCCCTGAGGCTGTAACTAGTCAATGAAGTCTTTTTTTTTTTTTTGGTAAACGTTTCCAAAACCTAGTAACGGGATTGCTGAAAAAATTGAGGCACAATACACAAGAAAATAGTAACATAAATTACATTTTACAGAATTTAAAAAAGAAAGAAAACTCCTAACTCCACCCCGTGCTAAAATAGGAAAAGAAAAATAGAATTTCAGCCTGATCCAAGGCCGTGATTTAACCATGTTGATTTTATATCCGTGCCTATGTCTGTCTCTACCACAGTGTTATGTGCAGTGCCTGGCCACAAAAGATAGTTCTCTGTTGTCCCCCTGTCTCTATTTCTGATAACCTCTTCTTCTGTCTCTCTTTCTCTCTTTCCAGCTGGTGGTTTTTAGTGCCAGGTTGTGTGTAACAAGGCTCCCCTGATCCATATCCTTATTGTAGATGAGGTGACAAACCTGCAGGTATAAATGGAGTTTGGGTTTGTTTGGAAAGGTGTCTCCTCTTCTCTGAGATACACCCATCTGAGTTTTGAATTTAACACCAGCTGCAATCCCAGGGCAGGGCTGGATGGGGTGACCATTTTCATCCAGGAAGTCCTAACAACAATTTTCAGATGCTCTGCATCACTGTAATGGTATGTGGGAAAGGCTTTGGGAGACTGGGCGAAGAGATGCTGCCAAAGGAATGGTCAGATAAGAGACAACATAGCCCCCAGATGGACAGTGGGTGGAGCAAAAGGCTCAGAAGAGACCTCCCTAGTTTCTAGGTCTGTAAAGGAGATGGGGGCAGAATGTACTTTCAGACTTGCAAGATTGATGTTGGCCTCACAAGGTAAACCAGATAAGAATCACAACCAGATGAGCTAATTCTACTTTATTGTAAAGCTACATTGACAGAATGGGGTGGAACAGACTTAAACCAACCATGAGAAATCTAAGTGGTTGTGGGGGTCTGGTTCTTCTGGGCCAAAGGTTCTCCATTTTTGACTCTGAGTGGGATGGCACTTCCCTTACAGTTTGCACACTTTGGGGGTCTCCCTGGACTCACACCTCCTACTCAAAGAATAGATGGCAGCTGTGAAAGGAAGGCCTTTGCACAGATTTATCTGGTGGGTCAATGCCTTTTCCTAGACTTGGGAATCCTTTGTCAGTTTCATTCATACCTTTGTTACCTAATATGTGGATTGTTGCAATGCAAGCTACATAGGCTGCCCTTGATGGCCACTTACAAGCTACAGCAAAGTCCAGAATACAGTAGCACAAGTAGCGCATAGGCATATGAAGCACACATGTGACGCAGTGG